CGGCGACCAGAAACAGCAACAAAAACGGCTCCAGGATTGGAACCGGAGCCGGAGCCGGTCAAAAAACGGAGACGGAACCGGTAAAATAACGGCGTCGGAACCGGCGAAAAAACGGCAAAACGGAACCGGTAAAAAAACGGCCCTGTCGTTTCCAGGGCCCACTAAGGCCAGGGCGTATGGATCACCCAGCAAGGGCGCCATCGAGGGCGCGAGGTTCTTCGCGCCTCGCGAGTCGGCTCCGAGTCCTCACCTTCCTCCTCTCCCCTCGGGGGCGGCGCGGGAGAGCGAAGCGATTCGCGCCTCGCGCAGCGCGAGGCGCGAGCCCCTTTGATCGACCTGAGTCTGCTGGAGGGTTGGCCAAGGGTAGCGTTTCGAGGGCACACGCCCAGGAAAAGGCAGCAGCGAGGGTGGGGTCATGCTCAACGTCTCGATGTTCGGTTCGTTGCCTGGGTGGCCCGTTCAGCGGGTCTGGCCGATCACGGAGGACGAGTGCGCTGACATGATAGCTGAAGCCACTGGAGGCGCGGATGTGATCACCTTCGAGCAGTTCCGGGAGTTCAGCAGGATACCCTCTTGATGTTGTCGGCGATAGGGCATTGTCAGGGCGTTGGCAAAGTCAGGTGCCCGCGTGGGGGCGCAGGTTGTGAGAAAGTTTAGCCATTTCTTTTGCCGAGGTGTCATGGCTCCACCATTTTCTGGGCGCGTTCCGCTCTGGGAGTGCGGCGAATGGATTTCGGTGATAGTGGAAGTTTCGGACCTTGCCAGGAGGAGGAGGAAGAGGAGGAGGAGGACGGATGGAAGTTGGAGGTCGGAGAGGAGGAGCAGCAAGAGGACGATGACGACGACGACGACGATATTCCTCCTCCTGCTCCTGCCAACCCCTCCCCTCCTTCCTCCATCATCGCCCTCCTGGTCCGCCCTTCCCATCCTCCTGCTGCTCGTGCTCCTCCTCATTTCCCCTCCCCCATCGTCCCCTCTTCCTGTACCGCCCTCTGCCCCTCTCGTGCCCCCTCCCCTCCTCCGATGACCACCGTCCCGGCTCTGCCGTCCTCCCTCCTCCGCACCCTCGCCCCAGGGCCCCGCCCGCTCCCTCCCTCTCTCCTCCCTCCCTCTCTCCTCCTCCTCCTTCCCTCTCTCTCCTCCCTCCTCTCCTCCTCCTCACTCCCTCTCCCTCCTTCCTCCCGGGGCCCCTCCCCGCTCCTCCGCCCGCTCCCTCCTCCCTCCCTCGCACCCTCCTCCCTGTTCCTCTACAGGAGGGATATTTCAAAAATAGTCAAACATACTCCGGGGACTATTTTTTGAATATGTTTTACCATGCCGTTGCATTTGTTTCGTACTTTCAGTTTTTCGTCGAAAATCCCCCTGTAGGGGGACACGCCCGACTTAACCCTACCACCCAGTTCCAATATCCCCTTCGCCGGCCACTCCCAGTCCTTCCGCCGACCAATGGGATTTGCAGGCTTCCCTCCTGCTCCCATATGGTAAGTTCATGCGGCGCTGGCGCGCCGGCGACGCCGGCGCCGGCGTTCCAGGTTGAAATCTGGGACGCGGAAGCACCGAGGGACGCGGTCGGTCGGGGTCGCGATTGATTCAAGGTTGAACGTTCGAGGCGGTGTCGGCAAATTTTGCACGCGCCGGCGCCGCGCGAAGCCACCGTGCTCCCTCCTCGTCGCCGCATGCAGCCGGTTTCCGCCCCGCCGCCGGGCCCAGTCCTCGATACATGGGCGCCTTCCGGCGCCAGGAAAACCAGCTGCGTGAACTGATTCTTTACCCTGCCCTTTGCTGTCTTACCCTTTCGTCCCCCCCGATCCTCGTTCTCCCCTCAATACCTCCCTCCCCGTTTCGTCATCCTCCTCTCGCTCCTCTGGCCAGCACCCCCTCCCCCTCGCAGGGCAGCACGGCGCAGGAACATCCCCCTCCGTCGTCGTCGGGCCCGACCTCGGCGTTGACGTCCTTGCCGTCCTCGTCCTCGTCCTCGTCGTCGTCGTCGTCAAGGCGGCGGCGTCGGCGTCCGCGTCGCGGGCGTCGGCGCCCTCGGCGTCGGAGGCCCGCGGGCGTCGGCGCTGCCGTCGGCGCCCGCGCGCGCGAGGCCGGAGGCGGGCTCGGACGCCGCCTCGCAGATGGCCTCGCGCAACCACGTGAAGGCAGGCTGAGGCGGCCGCGGCCGCCGCCAAACACACACAGACACTATCCATCTTCGATTCCCAGGAGAATCTGGGAGAATCTGGGAAGTGGGGGGGAAGACAGAAGCCCAGAAAAGATGGGGAAAAAGATGGGGCATATTGCTATTTTTGTCTATGTATTTGTGTGCCCTGGGGCCCCTTCACCTGTGGGCGCCGCCGCCTTGTCGCCGCCGCCTCGGCCGCCGCCTCGCTCGTCGCCGCCTCGGTCGCCGCCGCGGCCGCCGCCGTGGCCGCTGCTCGTCGCTCCCGCTGCTCGCCGCCGCCGCCGCCGTCGTCGGCGGCGTCGTCGTCGTCGTCACGAGCGTTGCCTCCGCCGCCGCCGCCACCCGCCGCCGCCCGTCGCCGCCCGTCGCCGCCGTCGCCGCCGGTGCGGCAGACGCTGCAGCCGTGGATCTCGTCGTTGCCGCCGTGGTCGTCACCGACGGCGCTGTTCGGACGTCTTCGGGGGTTTTTCCGAGGGAGATCTCGGGGGCATCCGTTGGTCTTCGGAGGCAGCCGGCGGTTTCCGCACGCAGCCCGGAGGTTCTCAGATGGGGGCGGCGCGAGAGTGAGACGATCATCACGCTTTGCGCTGCGCGAAACGCAAAGCTAGGTGTCAGGAGGGAAAGAAACACACAGACACAACTAATCGTCGATTTCCCAGAAAAGATTGGAAACTATGGGAAGTGGGGGGAAGACAAACACCCAGAAACATATATACATATGAAAATATGGGGCATCTTTTTATTTGTGTGCATTTATTTGTGTGTCCCAGGGCCCCTTCAAGGTGGCCCAGGGTGTTCGATATTTCTTCGGGGCTGTCTTTCTGGGCCTTTGAGCGTCCTGGCGCGGCCTCGGGCCACCTCGGGGCTGCCTCGAGTTGACCTGGAGGCCGTCGTGGATCTGTCTTGTGGGGTGGTGCGTGCTACGCAGTGACTCAGGAGAGAAAAAAACACACTGACACAATTAATCGTCGACTCCCAGGAAAATATGGGAAAATATGGGAATTGGGCGGGAAGACAAAAAACCCAGAAATATGGAAAAATATGGGGAATCATTTTATTTGCGTTTATTTATTTGCGTGTCCTTGGGCCCCTTGAGTGACATAGCTTGGCGTGCAAGACGTTGATGTCCCGAAACAGTGTCGAAGTCGATGTCTCTGGACCGCGATCTGGCACCCTGGTCAGCAGTTACGAGATGTCTACGCTCGCCAAGCTGTAAAACATGCGCGGCGTAAAGCGGGGCACGACGAATGCACTCGAGGTGATGCGAAGTTGTACACGGATGGTATTTCAGTGCATGACGCCATACACACTCGGACTGACAATCATTGACGCTGCGTGTCTCCCCACAAGCTCATTCTGAAACTACCCCCAGGAGAGATGCATGGATAAGGGACAGCGCAGGAGCATGCAGGGACGAAGACGGGATGCCGCTTTCAAACCGAAGCTGCGGATGGGCCTGACCAAGCCGTGGATCATTACGTACTGGCCGTCGTGGATCGTTCGATCTAGAAGCCTTTTGGAGGCTCGTCGGGGTCATGTTGGGGGCGATGATGGGTCCATTTCGTAAGCCTCGTTCTTCCCTTGGGGATATCCTGGATGGCCAGGGCAGCTGAGGCGGTGGGAGGTCCTCGATTAGGCGCTGCTGCTGGAGCTCGAGCGAAGGGCTGCGCGGGATCCTCTCAGGGCGCCCGCGGCCGGCCGCACTGGAGGCATGCTGCAGACCATCCTGAGCCAGGTTTGACCATCTGCGGGACCATCATAAGGTTCAGGAGGGGAAAAAAGCACACAGACACGTCGATTCCCCAGAACATCTGGGAAAATATGGGAAATGGGGGAAAGACGACAACCCAGAAAATATGGGAACATATGGGAAATCCTGTCATTAGTGTGTATTTATTTGTGTGTCCCAGGGCCCCTTCAAAGGTATCGTGGGCCATCTTGGGACCAAGCTGTCCCAGCAGCCTCCCAACGTTGTCTCATAAAACAACTCGGACCGATCGAACTCCTCAGGGTCTCCGCAGCGTGCTCGCACTTTGGGGCCCACGAGCGGACGCCAACGTAACGCGCAGGCAGGGTGCCAGGTCACGAGCCAGAGGTTGACGCCGCGTGCACTTTGGCATCGTTTTTTGCACAGGTGGTTGGGGGCGCGGGCTCACTGTTCCTGGTTTGAGGCCGGTCAAGTGGGGGAAGGGGTGCTTGTGAATGTAGGATGACGATTAATCAATGACCGGTGGTCGTGTCGCGTGGGCGGCGCCCCAGAGGATGAGTAGAAGCAACTGGCCGCGGGCTGGGAAACTATTTTTTTAATCGTTCCCCCCCTGGCGTCCTCGGGCGCGCGCCCAGACAGCCGACGGGCCAGACGGAACCGAAGCGAAGGGTTAGGAGGGAGGGGGTCAAGGAGAAAGAAGCGGGGGCAACAGCAGCGGGATGCAATTACAACGACGAGCGGATCGGATCTGTACTTACCATGTTACCATGAGCTGTAATAGCAAGTGGAGGATACGGAGGGGCAAGACCCAACCATGTGCAGCTGTGAGTACCGACATGCGGACCCTGCCACTGTGGCCTTCGGTGGAGCTCCCTTGGCGGCCGCGAAGCGTGTGAGGGGTGCGCCGAAGTGGCCCGAGGCCGCCATGCGGACCCTGCCATGGACGACGTGAAATGAGTATTCGACGCAAGATTCGAAGCCGACGTGTAATCACATATTTTTGAATCGTCCTTCTCCCGCTGAAACATCGTACAGAAGTCAAAGGAATCATGTTTTCAATCCTTCCCCCTGATTTTGTGAATCGTCGTCCCGCATGAGTAGGGGGCAGTAGTCAGACCCTCTCTGATGGGAGAGAAGGGGATGGAAGAGGAACCGATCCACAGCGCCGGCTCCCGTGTGGCCTGTGGGAGTTGGCCGAGGCTTGCTCCGTGCAGTTACCTGGGCTCGAGGCTGCGGCGCCACGGCGGCTGGCCGCGTGGAAGTGGCGCGCCCACTGCCGCGCGTCTGCCGCGACTCCGAGGGGGCATGGGGGAGGGCGTGGTGCAGCGTCGCGGGCGATGTTTCTCTCCCAATCCCCGAGCTTCGCCCGACAGGTTTGGCCGCTCAGAAAGATGAGAAAACCCTGGGAGGCACCCCAAGGGGGCTGTTCGGACGCACCCCCATCTGGGATGGACACCCCCCCAGTGCATGTCCCAGGGCTGGGCCCCACATTTCTGGTACACTCGGAAACCCCACGAGGCCTGGGATAGGGGTCGACATATCTAGGGGAACAAAACGTGGCATAAACATGAAGAAACTCGGAGGTCCGCACGGATTTCTCGGATCGGCGTTGGCCCCCCTCCCCGGCGCGCGGGGCGCGCCAGGGGCGGCGCCGGAGGCGCCGCCGGGCGGGCCCCAGCGCCGATGCGAGAAATGGATCTTCGAGTTTTGTTATGTTTCTTGGCGTCGCTTGGACGTGTGCATTTGTTCTCGGCGAGAAACCACGAGGACCATCCTGGACCATCGAGGACACAACCACACGCACGACACCGAACCATGCGCGGGAAAGGGACGTCCGAGCGACGTCAAGGTTTATGTCTCTCTTTGTTCCCCTAAATATCCCCTGGTCAAGCGGAAGGCGGTGTCCCGGGCGCCCTCGGCCGCGGCCGCGGCCGCCCGGCGAGCCCTCGCGCAGCGGAGGGCGGCCGCGCGGGCCCGCGCGGCGCAGGCGGAGGCCCGCCACCGCGCCGCCGGCGGCTACGGCAGGGCCACGGCGTCGCCCTGGGAGGTGCCGAGGCCGAGCAGCGGCGAAGCGTCCCGGCGTGCCCATGGCCCTGCCAAGCAGTGTTCTGAGGACCTCCTCTTCGGGGGCGGAAAAAGATGGGGGTGATGACCAGGGGGGGGTGGATATATCATGGCGGGGGCCATGACATCTCCCCAGATCTCACGGCGCCCCCTCTTGTTTCATCACGTCCCTGCCCCCTCCCGCTGGGCCGCGCACATGCCGCCGGTCATGATTTGCACCCCTCCCTCTTGGACACCCCCCTCTTGGCCGCTCCCGAGTTCTGAGGACATTCTTTGTGGTTCCCACGAGATGTCCTTGGAACATTTCTGGCTGGGGCTGTCTTGTTTTGTCACATCGGGCTCCTGCTCTCAGAGCACTGTTTTGGTCTCTGGAGTTTTTTTTTGTGGGCCCTGAGAACATGTCGTGGTAGGACTCTCCAGGAATGCCGGGACGGTCGGCCCCTGCTCAGCGAGGGGCGGCATCGGGGCCTCCCCGGCGTACCAGAAGGTCCTGGCGAGGCCCGGGGCGCCAGAAGCGGCCCTGCCACGCTGCCCGCCCCCGCGCCTCCCCCGCCCCCCCCCCTCCCTGTGGAGCGGCGCGGCGCGCGGGCTCTCCCGCGGGCCAGTCGCTCCGCGAGCTGCCCGGCCGTGGCTCTTTCACCGCCGCTCTTCCGCTTCGACCTCGTCGCTCAGTATCATTTTAATCGGGCCCTCCACCTCCTCCTCCTCCTCCACCTCCTCCCCCTCCTCCTCCCCCTGCTCCTCCTCCTTCTCTCCGCCTCCTCCTCCTTCTCCTCCTCCCCCTCCTGGTGGTCGATACATGGCCGCCTCCGGCGCCGGGAGGCGCCGGGAAAATCAGCTGCTTGAGCTGATTCTCACCCCCCCCCTTTGCTATCCCCCGCTTTCGCCCGACCCGATTGAACCGATCCCCATCCCCATCCCCATCCCCTTCGAGACCCCCACCAAGCTACCCCCCAGTTGGGGATACACCCCTCGAAGCCCGAGAGGAACGGCCCATACCCCCTCTCTAGGGGGGCAAATCGACCCGTGGGGCCCAGGCCACACCGCTGGGGCTGGGATCGGTTCAACGATACTCGATCGCTCGTGCCCCTGCCGCTTCCCGACCTCCCCGAGGTGCGGCTGCACAGGACCCAGGCCGCCAGCGCCGGGGGATCGCGCTGGGGCCCCCCTCCGCGGCGGCTTCCCCCTCGAGAAGTGGCCGCCGAACGTCCTGGTCGACGGGCAGCGCAGGCCCCCACCTCCGCCTCGCCGTGGGGGAAGCTGGCGGCGTGAGGTGTTCTGTAGGGCCTGCCCGTCGGGGGTCCTTTTCCAGGTCCCGAGGCAGTCGAGGAGGAGGAGGAGGAGGCGGAGGAGGAGGAGGCGGAGGAGGAGGAGGAGGAGGAGGAGGAGGGAGGAGGAGGGGAGGGAGGGATGGAGGGGGGAGGGAGGAGGGGAGGAAGGGAGGAGGAGGAGGAGGAGCAGGCGAGGAAGGAGGAGCAGGGACGAGGAGGAGGAGAGGAGGAGGAGGAGGAGGAGGAGGAGGAGGAGGAGCATCAGGACGAGGAGGAGGGGAGGAGGAGGAGGAGGAGATGGAGGAGGAGGAGGAGGAGGGAGGAGGGAGGACGGAGGACGGAGAACGGAGGACGGAGGAGGAGGAGGGGGAGGGGGAGGGGAGTGGAAGGGGGAGGGGAGGGGGAGGGAGGAGGAGGAGGAGGAGGAGAGGAGGAGGAGAAGGAGGAGGAGGAGTGTGGAGGAGAGAGGAGGAGGAGGAGGAGGAGGAGGAGGAGTGAGGACGGTAGGACGGAGGCAGAGGAGGAGGAGGGGAGGGGGAGGGGGAGGGGAAGGGGGGAGGGGAGGGGGAGGGGGAGAGGAGGGGGAAGGGGAGGGGGAGGGGGAGGAGAGAGAGGAGGAGGGGGAGGCGGAGGAGGAGGAGGAGGACTCAGGATGAAAAGCCGGGCCAGGCGAGAGGGTCGAGGCCTGCGGGGGCGCACGCTGTTGGCAGAATAGTGACGTCGGGGGGTCTGGGATTGTGCGCTCTACCTGCAGGCGAGCCACAACTGGGGGAGCTATGGTCCTTACCCCCCTGGGGGACCCATCGATTTCGACACCCTTCTCGAGAGCTCGTCGAGGCGATGGGTTCCCCCAGGGGGGTAAGGACCACAGCTCCCCCAGTTATGGCTGGTCGGACCTGAAGAGTTCGCAGGTGCTGGCTGCCCGACGACTGGGGCCAGGCCATCAAGAACACGGGCCGCGGGGGCACGTATTTGGGGTGGGTGTCTCCCGAGGGCAAGTTCTTTTACCACCGCAGTGGCTACCCGACGGCCATCGAGGAGACCATCGGACGAAAGCTGACCGCCCGCGATGGTTTCAATGGCGTCCTGCGGTCGGTGAAGCAGCTCGTGCCACCGGGGGCAGACCAGGCGTTCTTAGACGGGTGCCTCTCCACTGACGAGAGGAATCGCGTGCTTGGTGCCAAGCATTTTCACTTCGCAGTCATCTCAGCACGCAGAGCCACGTCGGACGAGGGGCAGCTGGGGATAATGACGGTGGAGGCCCACTTCAATGCGGTAGGGGTTAAGCCGACTTGGTATGTGGACGCGGAGAGTCTGCAAGCCTACAAGAGCCTTGGCCTCAGCGCGGTCGTTGGTGGCAAGCTGACTCCTGCCAGGAACCTGGCCTTGGACGATGCCAAGTCCAGGCGCCAGGTCTGCGTGCAGATCTCCGACGACATCTCGAAGTGGGAGTACTTCGACGTGGAGCGGCAGGATTTCGGAGGCGAGACCAGCTTCCAGAGGGCGAACGCGGCCGTCTGCGGAGCCAAGCGGCTGTGCGTCTCCCCTCTGGCGGCGGCCCAGTTCATCCTGGCCAAGATGCGGTCGTCGCCCTCGCGGCCCCACCTCGGCGGGGTATTCCCAACGCGGAACGCGTCGATGAGCCTGGGCCAGGAGGAGTACTCGACGCACCACTTCATCTTGGGCGATTGTCGAGGCTGACGCCCCGTCCGCACAGCGGCCAGTATACTCTGTGATCTGTTTGACGCGTTACGGCGCGCGCCGTTTGTGATTACAGGACGGCGAGTTCGGTGACCGCAGCAAGATAGGCAGAGTGGCGAGGAGGGTGATGATACTGAGGGCGAGTGAGTGGTAAGCTGTGCTGGGTTTTGTAGTGTCATCTCGAAGTCTTGTCGTGAAGTGTGTGTGTGTGTATGTGTGTGTGTGTGTGCGTGCGTGCGAGTTGTGTTGGGGGTCAATGGCAAATCATCATGTGGCTTGTGTAGTTCTGCAGCTTCGCGCATTCCATTGCATCTTCCTTACCATGTGTCCGCATGCTCCAGTGGGCCGTGGCCCTCTGTGCCTAGTTTGTGGCCCTCTCTCGGCCACCCTCGGGCCCGAGGAGCCCAACCAAGCCCGCCTCCGTTTTGTTATGGCCCTTGCGCGAGCTTTCGAGGCTATTCGGCCCGTTGGGTTCCTCTGTCCAGTCAATTGGCGTGGCATCGCTCGGGCGTGTGCGTCTTTTTTCGGCGAGGACCATCGAGGAGCACCTTTGGGCATCCTGCGAAACACAGGCGCGCAACACCGACAACTGCACGTGGAATGCACGTCCGAGCGATGGCAAGATGGGCCATCTTGGACGATCTTGGGCTGTCTTGGGGCCTCCTCTAGGAGGCCTCCTGCGAACACTGCCCCACCACCCACGATGTCTAAGGGGGGAGGTGGGGTCCCCTTCCCTCGGGGGGTGCCCAGCGAAGTGAACCCCACCTCTCCCTCCTTAGACATCATGGGGTGGTGGGTGGGGCAGGGCTCGCGGGCGGCCTCCCCCCCTGGGCACGACCCTGGACGCCATCCTGCTACCCTCGTCAAAATTAACCTCAAAAGTTGCTGGCACGTCATTTCGATTTCGGCGCGCCCCTCAATGTCGACACGCCGCCCCTTCAATGTCGGGGCGAGGGCAATGATAGTCTGACCGAAGTTGACTCGAAAGTTTGACATCGACCGACATTGGAGGGGCGGCGCATGCAAGTACCCCGCACTCATCGATACTCGGCCCCAGATCTTCCGACACGCAGTTCAACCACGTCAGACATTTTGAGATTAATTTTGACGAGGGTTGTGGGACCAGCCGCTGGGTCCGACCGCGTTCCGACCCCCGCGCTCCCTGGGGAGGCTCCACCGGAGGCGGGGGCCGCCGGCCCTCGCGCGCGCGCGCGGACCAGTGTGAAGTCGGGCGTGTCCCCCTACAGGGGGATTTCGACGAAATAAAAAAAGATCCCTCCAAATAGTCAAACAAGAATCCCCAAAGTAGTCTGGGTCATATTTGCTTAGTCTTCTTTGACCTTTTTGGGTGTATTTTTAGTTTTTGTTTTTCTCGTTTTTTCGTCGAACATCCCCCTGTAGGGGGACAGGCCCGACTTAAGACCAGTGCCACGCCGCGGCCTGCGCCAGGTGCGCGCCGGTCCGTGAGAGTAGGCGTGTCTGGGGATTTGGGCCCCAGCAGCTGCCCAGACAGCCGACGCTCCGAGCAAGCTCGAGGCGGGCGGTTTGGGGACCACGTTTCGGCCTCTTGGGGGCCCTCGCCGGGCCTCGGGAGCGGCAAAGAACGGCTCGGGACGATAAGTCAGAGCCCCGAATCATCAGGGGTAACTCGGGTCAGGGTTAACTCGGGTTCGTTTTTCGGGAATCCGAATCCGAGTTACCCCGGACCCGAGTTACCCCGGATAACTCGGGCGTCCAGGGCCCCGAATCATCAGGGGTAACTCGGGTCAGGGCTAACTCGGGTTCCTTTCTCGGGAATCCAAACCCGAGTTACCCCGGACCTGAGTTACCCGGATAACTCGGGCGCCCAAGGAGACGTGGTCCAGACTTCCGAGGCCCACGCATCGAACAAAAACTGGCGCGGCCAGATGTATCAAGCAGTGGCGAAGCGTCCCGGCTCGCCTAAAGCCCTACCAAGACATGCTCTGAGAACCTGTGGTGGTTTGCACGAAGTGTTCTTAGAACCTTTCTGGCGGAGTCTGTCTTGTTATATAGCATCGGGTCTTACGTTCTAAGAACACGGTTTTTGTTCTTAGAACATTATTGGGTTCTATGTCGTGGTAGGACTATAGGAATGCCGGGACGGTCGGTTCCTGCTCAAATGTCTGGGTATTTCTGGATTTCCAGATCCCGATCTACTTCAAGCGCTTTCCTACCTCAAGCACCAACTCATCATGCAGTTGTTTCTTATTGTCTGGGCTGGCCCGGACCCAGTCTGCTTGATCCGCCTTCCCACTTCATGTTTCCGCATACCTCTTCCTGCTGACGGGTACCTGTGTGCACTCATTCACTGAAGAAGCAATGTTCGGAGCTCCGCGCGGATTTCTTGGATTCTGTGCTGGGCCCCTCTGGCGGCGCCTCCAGCGCCGCCACTGGCGCGCTCTGCGCGCCAGGGAGGGTGTCCGGCGCGCATCGAAGAACTACGCGCTCCGTTCGGTGGGATCCGTGGGGGGGGCGGTTTCGCACACATCTACTGGCCCCGCAACGGCCGGCGCACTTCTTCGTGGCGGAGCCCGCCTCGACGTGCCGGTTCGACACCGCCATGTCCCTGAAGGAGTCAGGAGGGAAAAACATAAGAAACACAGACACAATGAATCGTCGATTCCAAGGAAAATATGCGAAAATATGGGAAATGGGGGGGAAGACAAACACCCAGAAAATATAGGAAAATATGGGGAATCCTGTTATGTGTATTTGTTTGTGTGCCCCAGTTCCCGTTCAAGGAGGACTACGACTTCACCTGCCGCCACCTCGAGCAGCACGGCAGCGTCCTCCGGTGCAATCGCATGTTCGCGCACGCGAGGCTCGGGGCCGCCAAGCGTTGGGAACCCCCAAACCGGGTGGTGAGATACCAGGTGGCGACCTGGAATCCCCAGAAAGGACACCGCTTGGTTTGGGGACGCGGGGTCACCACCGGGTGTTGTGACTCCTGGACCCACCAGTGCCCGGGACGTCTTCGGAAAACCGCACGAGTCCCCAAACCGGGTGGTGGCACCGAATCGCCCGAGACTCACCGCCAGGTGTTGTCACCACCACGTTTGGGGACTACCAGAAGCGGTCTGGTGAGACCCCACCGCCCGCCGAGGCAAACGTGCGAGAGGACGGAGGAGAGAGGACAGAGGAGAGAGAGGGAGGAGGAGAGGAGGAGGAGGAGGAGGATGAGGAGGAGGAGGAGGATAACGATTTTCAGGGGGTGGCG